ATAATAAAGATCAGAGAAGAAATAAACAAAATTGAGAAGAATAAAACAATAGCAAAAATCAACGAAACCAAGAGCTGGTTCTTTGAGAAAATAAACAAAATAGATAAGCCTCTAGCCCAACTTATTAAGAGAAAAAGAGAGTCAACACAAATCAACATAATCAGAAATGAGAATGGAAAAATCACGACAGACTCCACAGAAATACAAAGAATTATTAAAGACTACTATGAAAACCTATATGCCAACAAGCTGGAAAACCTAGAAGAAATGGACAACTTCCTAGAAAAATACAACCTCCCAAGACTGACCAAGGAAGAAACACAAAAGTTAAACAAACCAATTACAAGCAAAGAAATTGAAACAGTAATCAAAAAACTACCCAAGAACAAAACCCCGGGGCCGGACGGATTTACCTCGGAATTTTATCAGACACACAGAGAAGACATAATACCCATTCTCCTTAAAGTGTTCCACAAAATAGAAGAAGAGGGAATACTCCCAAACTCATTCTATGAAGCCAACATCACCCTAATACCAAAACCAGGCAAAGACCCCACCAAAAAAGAAAATTACAGACCAATATCCCTGATGAATGTAGATGCAAAAATACTCAATAAAATATTAGCAAACAGAATTCAACAGTATATCAAAAGGATCATACACCATGACCAAGTGGGGTTCATCCCAGGGATGCAAGGATGGTACAACATTCGAAAATCCATCAACATCATCCACCACATCAACAAAAAGAAAGACAAAAACCACATGATCATCTCCATAGATGCTGAAAAAGCATTTGACAAAATTCAACATCCATTCATGATAAAAACTCTCAGCAAAATGGGAATAGAGGGCAAGTACCTCAACATAATAAAGGCCATATATGATAAACCCACAGCCAGCATTATACTGAACAGCGAGAAGCTGAAAGCATTTCCACTGAGATCGGGAACCAGACAGGGATGCCCACTCTCCCCACTGTTATTTAACATAGTACTGGAGGTCCTAGCCACGGCAATCAGACAAAACAAAGAAATACAAGGAATCCAGATTGGTAAAGAAGAAGTTAAACTGTCACTATTTGCAGATGATATGATACTGTACATAAAAAACCCTAAAGACTCCACTCCAAAACTACTAGAACTGATATCGGAATACAGCAAAGTTGCAGGATACAAAATCAACACACAGAAATCTGTAGCTTTCCTATACACTAACAACGAATCAATAGAAAGAGAAATCAGGAAAACAATTCCATTCACCATTGCATCAAAAAGAATAAAATACCTAGGAATAAACCTAACCAAGGAAGTGAAAGACTTATACTCTGAAAACTACAAGTCACTCTTAAGAGAAATTAAAGGGGACACTAATAAATGGAAACTCATCCCATGCTCATGGCTAGGAAGAATTAATATCGTCAAAATGGCCATCCTGCCCAAAGCAATATACAGATTTGATGCAATCCCTCTCAAATTACCAGCAACATTCTTCAATGAATTGGAACAAATAATTCAAAAATTCATATGGAAACACCAAAGACCCCGAATAGCCAAAGCAATCCTGAAAAAGAAGAATAAAGTAGGGGGGATCTCACTCCCCAACTTCAAGCTCTACTACAAAGCCATAGTAATCAAGACAATTTGGTACTGGCACAAGAACAGAGCCACAGACCAGTGGAACAGATTAGAGACCCCAGAAATTAACCCAAACATATATGGTCAATTAATATTTGATAAAGGAGCCATGGACATACAATGGCAAAATGACAGTCTCTTCAACAGATGGTGCTGGCAAAACTGGACAGCTACATGTAGGAGAATGAAACTGGACCATTGTCTAACCCCATATACAAAGGTAAACTCAAAATGGATCAAAGACCTGAATGTAAGTCACGAAACCATTAAACTCTTGGAAAAAAACATAGGCAAAAACCTCTTAGACATAAACATGAGTGATCTCTTCTTGAACATATCTCCCCGGGCAAGGAAAACAACAGCAAAAATGAGCAAGTGGGACTACATTAAGCTGAAAAGCTTCTGTACAGCGAAAGACACCATCAATAGAACAAAAAGGAACCCTACAGTATGGGAGAATATATTTGAAAATGACAGATCCGATAAAGGCTTGACGTCCAGAATATATAAAGAGCTCACACGCCTCAACAAACAAAAAACAAATAACCCAATTAAAAAATGGGCAGAGGAACTGAACAGACAGTTCTCCAAAAAAGAAATACAGATGGCCAAGAGACACATGAAAAGATGCTCCACATCGCTAATTATCAGAGAAATGCAAATTAAAACTACAATGAGGTATCACCTCACACCAGTAAGGATAGCTGCCATCCAAAAGACAAACAACAACAAATGTTGGCGAGGCTGTGGAGAAAGGGGAACCCTCCTACACTGCTGGTGGGAATGTAAATTAGTTCAACCATTGTGGAAAGCAGTATGGAGGTGCATCAAAATGCTCAAAACAGACCTACCATTTGACCCAGGAATTCCACTCCTAGGAATTTACCCTAAGAACGCAGCAATCAAGTTTGAGAAAGACAGATGCACCCCTATGTTTATCGCAGCACTATTTACAATAGCCAAGAATTGGAAGCAACCTAAATGTCCATCGGTAGATGAATGGATAAAGAAGATGTGGTACATATACACAATGGAATACTACTCAGCCATAAGAAGTGGAAAAATCCAACCATTTGCAGCAACATGGATGGAGCTGGAGAGTATTATGCTCAGTGAAATAAGCCAAGCGGAGAAAGAGAAATACCAAATGATTTCACTCATCTGAGGAGTATAGGAACAAAGGAAAAACTGAAGGAACAAAACAGCAGCAGAATTACAGAACCCAAAAATGGACTAACAGGTACCAAAGGGAAAGGAACTGGGGAGGATGGGTGGGCAGGGAGGGATAAGGGGGGGGAAGAAGAAGGGGGGTATTAAGATTAGCATGCATGGGGGGGAGGGAGAAAGGGGAGGGTGGGCTGCACAACACAGAGAGGACAAGTAGTGACTCTACAACATTTTGCTAAGCTGATGGACAGTAACCGTAATGTGGTTGTTAGGGGGGACCTGATATAGGGGAGAGCATAGTAAACATAGTATTCTTCAGGTAAGTGTAGATAAAAAATTTAAAAAAAAAAAAGAAAGAAAGAAAGAAAAGGGGGATTACTCCTTAACAGGATAAAACTATTGGTAAATCAAAGATCAACGCATGCTTTAAATATCCTTAATGTTGATCACTTAAAGGGTGTCAGATGATCAGCTATGGAGGTACTCTTTTCTGATAATATTCCTTTCTCTTAATTAAAAAAAAAAAAAAAAAGCAGTTACTGTGTGCTGACCTCCAATGAGTTCTGCACAGTGGTATAGAGGGCATGTCAAAGTGTGGGCAAAGGGTCTGTTTGTTTCTACGCAGAAGATCAAGGCCTAGCTTGGATACCCAGAAAATGAACTAAGATACGATATGAGGAGGAGCTTCCGGCATCAGCACTCTCTGGAGGACTCGTGCCGGGGGATGATCATCAAAAAGCCTCCACAGGGATCCGGACGATGCTGCGGTTGTGGCTGCATCCAGCCCACCGTCTCCTGGACTTGCCATAAGAAGGAGGAGGGAGATGTCTAGGCTGGCATGTGCATACAGTGAGACAACGAATTTGACTGGATCTGTACTGTTGGAACTCAACCAGGAGTTGGGAGGGGTGCAAGTTGTAGCACCCCAAAATCTCATGACTATAGACTATCTATGGTTAAAAGAACATATGGGATGTGAACAGATCCCAGAAATGGGCTGCTTTAATTTGTCTGATGGTTCAAGTACAGTTGGAAAATATCCATCATATCATAGATAAATTTTCACAAATGCCTAGGGTGCCTAAATGGTTTTCTTGGCTTCACTGGAGATGGCTGGTAATTATAGATTTGCTTTGTTTATGTCACCGTATTCCTATTATGTTAATATGTGTGTGCAAATTAGTTAGTAGTTTAAAACCTATACATACTTAAGGTACTATACAAGAAGATATGTCAAAGAAATAATCAATCCTCCCAAGTTTCCTTCATATGCTACATCTATAGCTTTTCTTCTTCCTTCCTAATTACAACCCTTAAATAGAATTCGTGCCTCATATCGAATTTACCGAGTATCATAATTCCTCCAGGTGGTAAAGATACCTCGAGACAAGTGCTGGGCATAGAAGCCACAGGGCATAAATCTGCAAAGAAGTAAAAAGCTAACCTTTGCAAACAATATGGCTTCTCTCTCACTTACCAACTTTACATTTCCCTGTATGGCCCCGGAAGATGACTGGTTAGCCAGAGACGGGTAAGATTCCTCAAGGGAGGAACAACCTAAGACAGGCACAGTCGCAGGGGGGCCATCAGGTGAGAATTTGGGGATCAACAGAGGTGAGGCTCAGAACCTCACCCCCCCTGCTTTGAGAGAAATCTTCTGCATCCGTGGATGTCTTGCTGCCCTTGTCTAGCCTGGATTAATACTTAGTCCATAGGCACACACCTGATCATCTGATCATCTACATTTGCCTTCTTACAGCACTAAACTATGTTTTCTACCTTTATCTTGCATCTACCTACCACTTCAGCATTTTATTAAAAATAAAAATAATAATAATAATAGGAGAAATGTGGGATCAACATATAAATCAAGTACAAAAATCAAACGAATATTCATATTTGACCTGATTGTTTATAGGTCATAATGCATGATCAAAACCGAAAGTTTCTGTGATGAATGCCCTTGTACTGTTCACCATGTAAGAATTTATTCACTGTGTAAGAATTTGTTCACCATGTAAGAACTTGTTCGTTGTGCTTCAGAAGATTGGAGACTGACGAGAATTAGGCTTGAGATGGATTAATGATTGTACATTGAGCATTGACCCCCCCTATACTGAATTTTATTGTTGTTAACAACCATTTGATTAATAAATATGAGAGATGCCCTCTAAAAAAAAAAAAAAAAAGGAGAAAAAAATGAAGCTCAACCAGAAACTTGGTGCTGAATTGAATTAACATCCAAAGGACCTCAAGAACCTGTGAAGATGGCACACACACTGCTTTCCCGACATCACTCAGCTCCACCAAGAAGCTGAGAGTGCCTCCGCCAGGGACCGACTGCTTCAAAAATTGGAAGAGCTCTCATCTCTTTGGCTTTTAACTCACCAAGGTAGGAGAATTTAATGAATGTTCTTTGGTTCTTGGACATGACTTGATTTAATATTTTAACTTTTCTTTCTCACTGAAAAATTATGAGAGGAGGTGTCTGTTTAAATTTGGAACACTTTCATGTTGTTGCTTATTTATCAATCATCTTATTTGTGCCATTTCATTTCATTGCGGACCTTCTCATATGTGACATTGGACAGGGTGTCTGGATGAGTTCATGATGGGAAATTGAACAGGGACTGGAATTTTGTGCTAAGGTATAGAAATTACTTAAGAGAGTGTTGTGAGCTATTTCACAACTTCTTGGGGACAAAATCTAGACTGCCTGAGGGCATCCTGAGGAGCAGAGTGGGTGGACTGGAAGGAAGATCTTGTTGCTGTGAGTACCGGAGGGTTGACAGAGGTACCAGGCTGGCTGCCTCCCTCTAGTAGGATGGCCGTCCTCCTGGCTAACCAGAATCCAGTGACTAAGCCTAAGGCGTCTAAGGAAGAAAACCCAGGAGGATTAACCACCCCCCCTGCTCTGTATGTTTTTGACCTGGTGGGGGTTTTCACTACCATGACATTCCTGGTCTCTCTCCACTTCCATATTCATCCCCCCAGCTGAGTTTTTATTAATATTATGAGTGACAATGTTTTTACTAAAACTCAAGTTTTTAAAACTAGTTTTAGGTTCACAGCAAAATTGAATGCAGGATACAGAGATTTCCCATACACTCCCAGCCCCTGTACCTGCATCATTACCTTCCACCAGATGGCACATTTCTTACAGTTGGTGAACCTATACCACATATCATCACCCAGAGTCCATAGTTTACATTAGGGTCACTCCTGGTGGTGAATATTTTATGGATTTGGACAAATGTATAATGACATGTGTCCATCATTTTGGTACCATACAGAGTTGTTTTCATTGTCTTTAAAATCCTCTGTGCTCTCCTTATTCATCCATCCCCCACCTCAGGTAACCACTAATCTTTTTCCTGTTTCCAAAGTTTTGTCTTTTCCAGAATGTCATGTACTTGGAATCATACTGTGTGTAGCCTTTTCAGTTTGGCTTCTTTCACTTAGTAATATGCATTTAAGTTGCGTTCATGTTTTTTTCAAGGCTTGATAGATGATCATTTTTAGAGCTGAATAATATTTCATTGTTTGGATGTACTAGTTTATTTACCCATTCACCTACTGAAGGACATCTTGGTTGCATTCAAGTTTTGACAGCTATGAATAAAGCTGCTATAAACATCTGTGTTCAGGTTTTTGTGTGGACCTAAGTTTTCAACCCTTTGGGCAAGTACCAAGGAGTGGAACTGCTGGATCATATGGCAAGAGGATGTTTAGTTTTGTAAGAAATTGAAAGACTGTCTTCCAAAGTGACTGTGCCATTTTTCATTCCCACGAGCAAGGAATGAGAGTTCCTATTGCTCCACATTCTCTTCAGCATTTGATGGTGTCAGTGTTCTGGATTTTGGCCCTTCTAGTAGGTATCTCACTGCTGTTTTGACTTGTGTTTCCCTGATGATATATGATGAGGCTGGAAGCATCTTTTCATATGCTTATTTGCCACTTGTATATCTTCTCTGATGAGGCATCTGTTAAAGTCTTTGGCCCATTTTTAAATCAGGTTGTTTATTATTGCTGAGTGTTGAGTTTTTTGTATACTTTGGAAACAGCCCTTTATCAGATGTATCTTCTGCAAATTTTTTCTCCCAGTCTGTGGCGTGCCTTTTCATTCTCTTCACATGGCCTTTTGAAGAGCAGTTTTGAATTTTAATGAAGTCCAGCTAATAATTATTTCTTCCATGGATCATGCTTTTGGTACTGTATCTAAAAGTCATTGCCGCACCCAAGGGCTCCTAGGTTTTCTCCTATGTGATCTTCTAGTTTTGTGCTTTAAATTTAGGTCTGTGACCTGTTTTGTGTTAATTTTTGTGAGGGGAACATTGACATTTTGATCTCTTCACTCCCCTCCCCTTTCTTGCTTCAGAGTTGGTTTCATGCACAAAAAGGCAAAACAGGGTTCTTCTTGGCCTCCACGTGTTACTTGCATTGGCCATTTTTCTCTCATTAGAATGTCACGATTCTGAGGGCAGGGGTCTCTGGTAATTTCAATCTTATTTAAAAATGAGAATCAGTCTTTGAGCTTTTAAGACTCAAGGTGCTCAGGCCGTACATCCTTAGATTTGGGTTGACAAGCCATAAGGTGATTACAAACTTGGGCATTTGCATATTTTGTAAACCCCACTTGATTATGTGACATGCTGCTAAGGTTGAAAATTCCAGGTATTGGGTGGCACGATGTTAGAGGTGGGAAGTGATCATGGTCAGATTTCTGCTTCATCAGGAAAACAGTGCCTGCTTGCTTATCCAGCTACCACATCTACAACAAATCTCAAACTTTCTGAATTTGCAAAAATTACAAAGAAACTAAAAGCCTAAACCTCTGAAAGATGCTAAAAATCTTGACCTACAAATTCTAGCTGTTTTACCCTTCGATTCCAGGGCACACACCTGCAGGATCTCGCGGGGTTCTGCGCACTAGACTGGAGACTAGTAGTTGGTTACCAGACAGGAATTGTAAGAGACTTAAGGCTTTTTGCAAGGGTGGCAAGGAGAAAAGCCTAGATACAAAAACATGATAGAAATGATAGCGGTATGGTGGGCTGAACAGCAGCACGTCCAGGAAGTTAGCTGCCTCAAGCAGTCGCTGTTGCTACGGTGTCTAAACATCCACGACATTCTCCAGCCGGCTCCTCTATGGGCTGTCAGATGGAAGACAGTCCAGCTAGGCCACAGTTACTTCCTCCCATGCCTGCACAGAAGGGCTTAGATCAGATGAGCAACACTTGTTTATTTCACCCACTGGCTTTTATTCAGTAATAGGCATCTGTAGAAATCATGACACCTTAATATTCAGATACCCATATTTCTCAAGTAAATTAATATTTCCATCTTGATCAGCTAGATCAACTGTTGAAAACATTAAGTCCACGTGCAATTACAGATGGAAACATAGGTATGGCATACATATAAGAATAGTTTGAAAGAAGCATTTTATAATTTATCAGGTTATTAAGACCAGTACTTTATTTCACAAGGAAAAAAAGTTAGTTGGGAATTATCTCCTTCCAGGTTCTCAAATATCTTCCCTCGTCTATTTTCATAATGATTTTCTTTGTGACTAAAAGATCTACTTGGTAGATCTGGTTACATAGTAAGGTGGTTTTGGATATGGTGGGAAGCATGGGTGGTTATGAGCAATGGCTATACCACACTGGGAATGGCTATACCACATTGGGAAATACATTTAAATTTTCAGTCTCAAGTTTCCTTACCCATAAAATGAGGAAAACATTACCTACCCCTTGGGTTTTCTGCAAGCACTAAAAGAATCCATGTGAAGCCCTTAGGAAGGGACCTGTCCTCACTAAAATGTCAGCATGTGACTAAAATTCTCTGAAGACACAGCAAAGAGGGAAGGGTCCGCCAGTCATACATCAGAGAGCACTTCACCTTCACTTTCCAACCAAAACGTTCTGGGACATCCATCATAGTCAGGACCAGAAGGGCAACCTGCATCCTGGAAAAGTGGTTGATCCCCCTTTCTCCTTGCCTTTTGGCTGATCTGAAGAGTAGGCTTTCCCAAGGGGTGGCCGATGATTTCCGTGGCTTAAGAAAGCCCTTCTCCTACATGTGGTTAAGAACAAGTGGACAAGAACAAGTGGCCAAGCCATGGAGGACCTCTGGGCTGGGTTTATCCAGGGAACACAGGACATAAACCCTGGGACAGGAACCAAGTGCAGTGGTCTCCCCTTTGATAGTCTGGCTTGGAAGCATATATGCTTATTGCCATTGTGAGTGAAATGGGGTCAACAGTGAAGAGCCATATAAGACTGGCCAACTGTCAGTGTCAAACAGTGGTCCACCAGTCTCAGTTTGATTGATAAAAAAGTCATAACATCAAAATGTGGTCTATAAAATCATTGATCTTGAAGTAGTATTTTCTATATTGTCCACATCTCTAGCCTTATTCTGTTCATCTTAGCTAATTTATGAGGTTATCAAGGATATGGAAAGACCAGACCATTAAGCAAAAAAATCAAATTCTTAGGTTAAAGAAGAAGTGTGAGAGATCCTACAACTCCTTGGAGGGTTGCTCAGTTACCCATGTTTCACCTGGCTGGCCCTGTAGACCTGGGACTTGTTCTCATGTGCTATGCTAATTAGTAAACTGTGAGGTTTTGCACCCACCTGGCCTTCTCACCTCAGGGCTGGTGGTCTGAGAGAAAGCCAACTGTGGTGTAGAGGGACAATCCCCTCCGTCAGTCTCTTTCTCCCATTGCTTAAGAAGTGCAGTGGTGCCTTCCTGTGGAGAAGGGGTATGTCTCACCAGACATTTCTCTGCCGGAAACTTGGTAGCTTGAGAAGGAAGTGTTGGGGGAGGCATGGAGATGGGACTGATGAAAAGTGCTCAGTACTACTTAACCGAACAGGGAATATACCAAAAGTGGGTTTGGGGATCTGGGGCCCAGCGAGGGCTGACAAGTGGGGCGCTCACACGAGGGGCATCCTAAAGCACATTCATGCCAAATCACTCATTTGGTAGGGCAGTGCAACTTCAGACTTACCTAATTGTGAAATTAAATGCACCTTCTTTGTTGATGATTGTGTTTAAGGTTGCACTGAGGGGACTTAGCTCAGGGTAGGACAGCAGCCTGGAGTTTGATGCTTCCTAAATCATTTCCTATTCCTTCCCTGTCCCCAAAACCCACAGGCAAGAGCCAGGCCAGCAGGCACAAGCCCCACAGATGCTGTGGTAGCAACAACAGGTGTGTGGGGCCACACCATGCAGGAGGAAGAGAGGTGCATGGCCTGGCTGGTGGATCTGGGGCCAGGCAATACCCATGACCTCTGGACACACTCACAAGGGATTTTTCAAATCCCCTTTCATGAGTGAAGACAGGGTGTTGGGAGCATGGGCTAGGCCTACAGATTCTTAAAACTAACCATTCTGAACTCCTGCCCAGGACCAGCCTCATGTGCGGGCACAGGGATGGAGCCGAGCAGGTGATACTGGGAAGAGAGGCCCACACCAAGGTGGACAGGGAGCACAGAGCCACAATGGGCTCAGGGGCCTCAGAAAGGAAGGGTAGGTTTGTGAGCACTTCAGAACCGCAGGACATTGTCCAGAGCCTTGGAGCCAGAGGAACCGTCCCCCACCCGGAAGTAAGGAAAACTAATGTCACAGAGAAGCCACAGACAAGGACTGTGCTGAAACCCTGAATCAAATTCTCATCAGTAAAAAAAGAATAGGGGCAGGCTCAGGTCCTTAGGGATGATAAAGTTTGCCAGAAAGATATGCCCACAAAATGGGTGAAATTATAATCCAGTATTTCCAAATGAACTGAAATAAATTAAAAAAATAATAGAAGACATTAAAGAATAGAAAACAGAATTTGAAAACTAGAGAAAAAGGGAAATAATTGTTTTAGAAAGGATGACTAAACTGGACGGACAGTAAGATAGGCAAGGGCAGATCACCTTGCAGACCGGGGTCACTGACCCCAGCGGTAGGAAAGACCAGAGCTGCTGCTGTACAGCAGGGACATGTGGGTGCCTGGGGGCCTGACTCTCCACCATGAGACAGACAGACACAGGGCTGTGGCCTGAGGGGGCTGGTACCCGGGCAGCAAGGAGGAGGGGCTGGCTCACCCCCCTGCGCGGCTCACTGCCCCATCAGGGGACCGCGGAGGGGAGACTAGAATGGGTGGCTGAGGGGAAGGATGATGAGCCTCATAAATGGCTGCAGGACCAGCTGCCGCTGTGGGGATGGAGATCCTTCATTTGTTGTAAAATCAGACCTTATAATTTTAGCAGAAAAAGCCAGGGGATCTGAGTGGCCCAACAGCTGATTGGGCTGTGCCCCTGTGCACTTCCACATGCGTGAGCGTAGGGGTCAGGGCCATGCCCCTCAGAGGCGGTGAGCTCCTGCCTCGTCCAAGGTGAAGCCCTGCTTGGGGTGGCTGTGGCAGTGAATTGTGGGCAGTGGCCTCCAGAGGTCATGTCTTCATTTGGTACCAGGAAGGGCTACCCCAGGTGCTGAGCACAACGCAGGTGGGTGAAGCTCACTGGCAGCTGCATAGGAGTCAGTTTGTCCCTCTCTTGGATCCTGCTTCCTCGCTGACCCGTGTAACTCCCCCAAATGTCCTCAGTGACCATCCATCTAAGAGGCTACCTTGAGAGTCCAATCTCAGGTGGCAGGCCGCTGTCGTGAAGAGCATCTACTGGGCCTCAGCAGGTGCTTAGCTGTAACGCGGCTGTTACAGCTTGCTGATCCCTTCAGATCGATGAATGAGGCTGAGGTCGGGGGTGGCTGGCTGGCCCAAGTGTTCCCATCCCGAGGGTGGCTGAGCTGGGACTAGGCACCAGGCCGCCTCATGCTCTGTGCGATTTCTGGCACATGCCTCCCTGGAGGAGGCACTGTCCTCCCACATTTCTGTACTCCCATCTTTTTTTTATATTCAGCTTTTGTCTTGAACCCTGGAAATTGATTTCTTCAGAAATATTACCATTCTGGTGTATTTGACCTTACTTTTAAGGAAGCATCTTCCAGGGTCTTTCCTAGATGTTGTGTAACATTTCATTACAGTGGTATATTTTCCTAGATGTGTTATACCTGTGAATGTGCTCTCTGGGAGACTTCTTAAAAGAAAGAATTCACAACCAGAAATATGCACAGTGATTCTTCCTGTAGTCTGGAAATCAGGATGTGGTCCAAAGGGCCCCACCAGTGGTTTGGTTTATTTCAGCAGGTGGAAGGAAGTATGCTGGCTTTCACAGCTGAAGAACAAATACGCACGAATTCTCTAGCAGACACTAAACATTGTTTGAACTTTTCTGTTAAAAAAATCTCTTTTTTTTTTAGAACAGTTTTCTTTTTGGAAATTAATTTGCCAGTTGTTTCCTGCTTATATTATTCATATATATCACTCATGTGAGAAAAAAACAAAACAAAAACAGTAACAAGCAGATTCTTATCTCAGGTGATTTTTAAACTTGTACATAGTACTGAAAACAATCACTTTTCCTATTTCATGCAAAAAAGGCAGAATGAAGAACATCCTTAAAATGACTTTGCAAGATGTACTTTATTTTAAGTCAGTCCTGAACCCAAACTACATAGAATCATTTTTTGACATATTCTAGTCCAGTCAATGATTCTTCTCAGAAACTGTATTTTAATATGGAATGAAAACTACAATCATAAATTTTCATGCTACATTGTTTTTAATGAAGAGGATGTATTTCCAATAATAATAATTTAAGAAAAGGCCATTTTTTATTCCCCCAAGCTCAATATACATATTTCTTCCATAATTATGAACTTAAAAAACCCGTCTCAGATGTAAAAATGTGAATTGGAATATGTAAACTCTTTGATATTCCTGAAAAACAGGAAGGAAGATGTCACAGACTGGGAAAAAGTTACCTTACATCACTGAAAAGGGCTAAAGCATGAGGGGCGCGGGAGGCAGCGAGCGCCCGAGACCCCATCAGTGAGGAGTTCCGGAATCCTTACGTCCTGCCTTGTGCTGCATTCGTGGTTCTTAAGCAAGACAGCGACTGCCACTGCAGCGAGCTGCCCGCTGGGCCTCAGCGGAGCCGGTGGCCACATTTTTGCTGCTTATTTTTTTTTCCTGAGAAGTCACTGGTGTTCAATGGAAAGATTTCTTATTAGTCTTCAATTAAGATAAGGCAGTAAGAGTGTCACTAATGTTATCTTTTTGCTTAGAATGAGGCTTATCCTTCAATTGGTATCTTCATGGGTCTTCCGCTCCATCCCTCTCTTCCCCTGGAACTACATCCGGAGTTTCAGCCCCTATTGCTGCTGCATGCACAGGGTGTGCTGGTCCCATCTCTTCTCCTCCCCCAGCTTCACGCCAGCGACAGAGCGCTGTGTATTGCATTGTAGTATCTTTTCAGCCAGGATGCAGTCTGCATACAGAAAAACAGGCTGTCTTTCCTTCTTAATTCCTTTTCTTTGTTTCTCCGACAGAGGAGACCCATAAATGGTCCCTTCCCAGAGTCCATCAGAACACAAGACACTTTGACTAAAACAGAAAGCAAGTAGCCCTGATTTCAGAGAAAGAGAATTACAAATACCTTTTTCAACAGCGCCATAGCTGGAAGGTAGCTTTGACTGCAAAATGAAACCATTCCTTTTGGCCACCTGTCAGAAGAGAGACCAAATTTCCATCCTGCTAGAAATGCTTAGCTTTTATGAGAATATTGTGCTTTTTTTGCTTCTGAAAATTCAAATGTTGATTTGATTTGCAGTCTGTGTCCTAGAGCATCAATTTGTTTTTTCTCTAGTCCATTTGATCATGGTTTCTGGTGAGCGGTACAGGAATATTAATTTGGCATAGAGGTCTTCTTCTAGTTCCAGTTCCCCCGTCTCTCGAACTAAAAAAATATCTGTGCACAACTTCAAAATTCGATCCACATTTGGAAGTTCTTCAAACATTATGGAATGAGAAATCCCACTGAAGAATTCACGGACAAACTTTCCAATCACGAGGACAACTGAAGCATATAATCCCATGATACTGAAAAACAATTAAGTAGAAATTGTCTACAGCAGTTAAATATAGTTAATAGAACATGTATGATAAACTTATCAGACTAATTTTTTTGCCCTTTGGTGAAAAATTTACTTTTTTCTTATGAAAAAGGAAAGTTATGTTCTTTGTAAAAAAAAAAAAAAAGCTTTACACATTACAGGACCAGAAGATTTGAAAAATGAAAGTCTTCTTAAATCTCATATTCTAGATATAACCAATGTTAACAGTTTCATGTATGAACTTCAGGTGAGTTTTCTGTATATATTATATGCATAAACAACATAGGGGGTAGATACATAATATATATGGTAGAAATGCAATTGTATACACTTTTCTGAATCTAATTCTTGGTAGACAGTTTCTGAAAAGGCTCATTCTGAGGAATGTAAAATTCTTATATGTTGTAGGGTGTGTGTCTGTCTTAGGATTTAAGCATTAGTACATGGTGAAATGATAATTTCCAAAACACATCCAAAACTGTGATTCTGATTGACTACAGGTTTTTACGTCTGCTAAAGTCAGAAGGCAATCCAAGCAGAAAAGAGATAACCCTATGCCAAATTAAATTTAAATCCTCAATGGCATCAAACTACACCATCACAGAAAGGTGTAGGGTTAAGAAGCTTCTTTATTTATATTTATGGCTTCTACTCCTGCCATTAACCAGGCATTTTGACTTCTTTGGAACTTTGTTTTCTCATTTTTTCTTTTTAAATGAAGAGCCAAGGATATATGAGTTTTAATATTGTAGCTATAAAGTTCAAGAATTCCAAGAAGATAAAAGGCTTCCTAACCTCAACTTTATATGATACAGAAGTAGACTCTTCTAACCGTTAGCTGTTAAACGATCCTTACCCATAGCCAGCCAGGAACCCCAAACTGGGAGGGCTGACTTTGTCATTGAAGACCACCAGTTCCAGGGCCTGAGACTGATGATTGTATATTCTATTTCCAGTCAGGTTAAGAACCCACCACTCACTGTTAGTTTTACTTGTACTGTCTCTGGACAAAATGATGGTAATATTCATGAAATTATTTTCTGGAAGAGGAGAACATTGAAATCACATTAACATGAGAATTTTAGGATTTAATGCATGCTAACAATTCTCAGATGGCAAACCTGGCTACCATCCATAACATATGGTGCTAGGATGAGAAGGACATATGGACATGTTAACAATGTGAAGGAAAAGGAAGTGGGCTTGGGGTGGGTCTGGGGTTTCTCTGTTTCGCAAAAGAGGGCAGGCATTGTTGCTGCATGTGCATGGCAGCCAAATCACAGGGCAAGAGGGAGAACCAACACCTGACTCATTTTGCTGATAATTCTAAACAACTAATTACACATTTAAAAACCCAAATCATGGACTTCTGATTGCATTGGCTATTTCAGTCATACAACCAACATTTACTGAGTGTCTTCCGTGAGACACTGTTAGGTGATAAGGGGTCACAGAGTGCGTATAGAAATGGTTCCATATCTCAGTGGGAAAAGGCCATGTACACAGGAACAAATTTTGGGCATGAGGCAACCACTCCAGGACTGACTGACACGATCTGTTAGCCTGGGGAGACTACTACTGCTTGGTATGATCTACGAAGGCTTCCCAGAGTTCTGAGCTCAGTTTTCCTGAGTGAGAACTTCAATAGGTTGAGATGGAGTGGGGAGAGGAGGCCATTTCAGGAAGGACCAATGGCATGAAGCTGTGCAAACTTCTAAAAGCCCGTAATGTGTGGTCAGCAATTGTGCTTGCTGGAGCATAGGGTTAATGTCAAAGAATAGTAAAGATGGCAAACAAAAGCCTTTCTAAGGAGAGGTCTTTCTAAGGAGAGGGTGATCCTGCCAGTGATACTAGGGCCTCCCCTGAGAACCATGGGGTGGACTGTGAACTCGGTGTGTGTCAGGGGTTTCTTACTTATTATTGTTTATTGTATGATTTCATGCTAAGTTCTCAGATCAGAGGAATCTGGGGCAATGCTGGGCAATACACCTCCCTTTGCTGGCTGGCTGGTGGCTGGTTGGATGGAGATTGAGGAATTGCAGTCTGTTGGTGAAGATAAAGTCCTTGCCCAGGAAGAAGGTGGATGACTAGGAATGCCCAGGAACAGGAAGAACCTTGGTTCTGCAGTCTAGAGACCATTCTGAGGGAGGAATCTGGCTTTGTACCCAGATGGGCCCCGACAGGCCCAGGTCTGGATCTAGTTCCTCCACATATGGGTCATATAACCTCAGCTGAGTAACTCACACCCTGAGCCTCAGTTTCCTCACCATGAACTGGCGACAACCACCAACCTATGCTACCTAGGCCTTGTGGAGGTTTGAATAACTCAGTAAAGTTCATCAGGTAAGCTATTGTGTGGTCAGATCTGAGAGCACCCAGGTCATATGGTCTGGGGAAGAGGGACTTCCTAGACTGGACCTCAAACCACTTACAGGCAGACCATCCAGTGTGGGGAGAGGGGCGGCATGTGAAAGCACGGGGGTAACGATGCTGCAGGCAGGGAAGAGGGAGGGGGTCTGGGCACAGGCACAGGGTGGCCTTACCAGGAGAGAGGAGTTGACTGTCTTTGAGACTGAAGGGAAGGAGGAAGGCACCTGGGAAAATTGGAGACATTTTTCCAAGGGGAGGAAGGAAGCTGAGGAGTGGCCTCTGGAGGGCTTGGGGAGCAGGGGGAGATGACCTGCTGAGGGGCAGCCGATGGGAGGAGCCTACTGAGGGACAGGACCATTTCAGGGTAGGACCTGTGCTCTCAGACTCAACATTCCCAGAACCTTTCCGGCTTGAAATGGAAGCACCTCAGTTCAGAGCATTTTACAACTACCTCCTTTGCTATCCATACTGACTGCTGAGGAGGAAGAGCACACAAGTGCGGGGCCCACCTGGGTTCGTCCCCCAAGCCCTCTGTCCTGCCTTGCTTTCTCACACTCTTCAAGGGGGTTGCTCACTGTTCACTTATATCTCTTTCTTTCCAGCTCAACCTGAGCCTCACAGAGCCAGATGTCTGGGGCCTGGCACTGGTGCCAGTGAACCATCCACATCGGGAAGTGCGTGGACATGAATTGGATGACTGTCCTTTCTGTCTGCCTTTGCCCTAGGTATGCATCTACTCTGGTCTGGGTAAATGATTAGGTCAGACAAAGCCTGATAATTAAAAGGACCCCAAAGCCTCAATTTACTACCATCACCATTATATCAGAACAATACAGTCCTTAGATACTGTTACTAATACTTAATCACCCTTGGGTGAATGGAGTACATTTACTGCTATCCTTTCTCATCCTGACTGTGAGGCTTCATATTTAATACTGTTTGAGGCAGTTTTCTGCCAAAGATATGGCTGCTCACAGAAACAAGTAAACACACTGATTAATTAGTAACAAAAGTAACCAAATGGTGATTTAAGTCAATCAGGTTGTGTGTCAGTGAGCAAAGAAAATGAAGAGGATGGCTCCCTGGCATCTGAGTCCTTATGACCAGTGAACAAGTCATGTCACACGGGGAATGAAAACTTGAAAATAGCTTGATAAAGGTTGAAAATGCAAACTGTAGAAGTTGGATAAGAGAAGGGTTAAGAAAAGTTCTGAAGCAATTCCTTCTCATTCTTACCAGATAAAAGTTGCTTTATAGGTTTTGAGTTAGAATCACTAGGTGCCTTCACATAATATGGGTAGATCTTTTCTATAGTCCTGTGCATTAAGGACAAAAAAAAGAGGTAGTTAAGTTTTAGTTGTTTTATCCACATAAATTGATTTTTGGTTGCTGCAGTTTTTGACTTTGTATCAAATGAGTAATGGCAAAAGTCTTCCTATATCTCTACAATGTGTGGTTCTATCATAATTTATGGATTTCCATTATATACAGAATTCTCAAATTTATCCGGTTCTATCCAGATACTCCTGCAAACTTTATATATAAGCTAGTTAGTGGCTAAAATATTTTCTCATGTCTGTGAGATATGTTTCTAAAGCAATGGGCTGTCTTTCTTGCTAGGATCCTATCATTAATAGCATTGAACATTCTTCTAATTTTCATTTTTAGGATTTCAAAAATATCTATAACCAATTGGACTGCATGAATCGATCTAGTAACAAGAGTGAGGACTGAGGAGAGAACTGGTGACCAGGATGTTACCCAACCTCTGCCTTGGACGAGCAGAGTGGGTAGTCTGAGCCTGTCAGTCCATCTTGCTAGACCTGTGCTCACCCGGGACAAGATGGGGGAGGATGGGACCATCTTCAAGGCCCTTCAGTGTGATGTATTAAGAAAGGCCATCTTAGGGACCCCGCCTGAGGACAGTGTCATGGTGGCTCTCACATACATGCAGCACATGAAAGCAGGGCCCAGACTGGAGGACGGAACTGGGCAGGGGTGGGTGGATTGCTGGAGCGCTGCTTTTCGCAGCTTTATACTAGTAGCATTTTTTCTCCTGCTACTTATATTAGAATCTCAACATCATAGCTTGAATTTATTTGAAGTGGAGTAATTATATGGCAGAATAATATGTTAAGATACAGTTTTTCTTCCCAAATTTCCCTTTACCCTTTGGCTCCCCAATTCCCATTCATCAGTCAGACATTTAGTGACTCTGGGGCAGGAGTAATAATAGAAGCGAGGTATCCCAGGAGAGTGAGGTCTTTTCCGTCTTTCCCTGGCTTTTGGTGGTCAGATAAGAGAAGGTTTGCAACCGAGAGATGAGAGCGAAGAGACGCTCAATACTCCCCGGGCAGGGCAGCCTGAGGGTGGGAAGGGAGGAGAGCAGAGTTGCTTTAATCTAGCACAATGGGATCCCCAAACAGAAATTCATGTGAGTTACCCAAGAGTGAAGAAAGTTTCATTTCTTGCACATGAAAATCTGTAAATGGAGATTGTGTACCAGATACACCTACTAAAACTATATTTAAAAAAAACTCACACCGGCGTCTTTGAGCTTTCTGTGTTGTTGCCAGCTATCATTTTAGCAATATTCTCTCGTGTGGTATTTTTAAGAGGAAAAGAAAGCTTATCTGTTGCTATTTCTGCTTTTGCACCCAGACTCATGTTTCTGTGAAAGGGAAGAAAAAAAAAACAGAAAAGAACTCAATGTCAGTGATTATTCAGAAGTCTGGAAGAGAGATTTCAAAGATTACCTGACTTTCATGTTATTAATCTCACCAAGTTTCTGCTCAGTCTGTAATTGTCTACCCCAACCCTTTCTGTCCACCTCATCATTCTGTCCAGCTTGTCAGGCCAGCAAGTTAGTAACACCCAGGGAGGACCCTGGCCCCTTTCAAACAGACCACTCAGCAAGAGAGACACCGTCTGGAAGCTTTGATATGAATTTCCAAGCTCTGCCTGTATCAACCTAGGGAAATTAGTCTCTGCTGTGACTAACAGAATCCACGTTTAAGAAGAATGTTCAATCAGAAGCTAATTTTTAATGTTATTTTTTGGTAGCTCTTCAAAGAAAAGGCTAGGAAGTAAATTTCGGGCCGTGCAGAATCCCATATGAGGAATTTGGGAGATTTAAAAGGAGAACATAAGATTAAAGAGAGAGTTCTTATAATCCTGAAATATTTCTTCACTATCTCATGAATTCACTTCAGATTTGAGAAGGCTCTCTTCTGTACTGATCCTGACTCTTCCTCAATTTCATCCAAGAAGCTGGAATCATGGACCCAAATGAACTATCACTTGACAGCCCAAATAAGCTTGTGGAGAGTCCCAGCTCATGGGGCTGTGCTGAAAGAAACCAAGCCGATCACCTGGAGTATGGGGTTGAGGTCCCCAAACTACTTCACTAATGCACCAGGCTTCTGGATGCAAGACCTTTTCCTGAGACATGCTCTGTCTCAACAAGTGAGGAGTGGCTGCATGCTGGCCACTGGCTCAGGCCAGGGGACAAGCCTTCCCCAGCTCTCCCCTGCTGGGACTGCCATGCTGCTCCCACACCTCATGCTTGGAGGGATCTTCCAGGGCTTCCGCAGGTTGGTGGGATGCCAGTGAGAATCCAGGCTCCCAGAGATTGCAAGTTCTTTATTATTAAGACCAAACTTCAGCCTTTCAGGAAAATCTGACAGTTCATCCAGACTCCGTTTTGTCTTCTAAGTCATCACCCTTTTCCTTTTCTCTTTCCCTCTCTCTCTTGTTCACAGAGCTCATTTTCTACTAACTTCAGTTAGTAGAAAAAAGAAACTAAGACATTCTTGGTGTTGTCAGAGATTCCCAGGCAAATCGTTGTTTAACAAATGAAAATGTTAGCTATTACACCGAATGATGTCCCCAAAGTGTCCTGTCAACTGAGATCCCCACTAATTGACCTTTTCTATCCTCCCACCCCCCACCCCCACCCGAGTTTAGATTGGGGGAAGGGAAATTATGAATGGAAATACAGTAACTACCTCTGAATACTCCATGAAAAAACAACAGAGAAGCTACTACTGGGGTCCATGAGTTCGTGTATCATTTTCTGCTTACTGGGAGGGCTGATGGTCCATAAAGAATTTGAGTTTCCTTCCAGTTCTGCTACTGTTATGTCTTCTTTTTCATAGTTTTCTAGAAATTGCATAGCACCCTGTATGCACACAAATACACATGCATAAATAGATCATACATAGGATTATGTATAAAGAAAGTAATTACTCTAACCGTATAGACAGCATTCTTCCTATGAAAGGCAAGGCAAGTTTCAGTGATGGACTGTCTGGTGTGTTCCATGGTACTAACTTCGTTCCCCCACCTGCAGGGATGGGCAGCTCCTGGTACATACTTAATTTATTATTAAGTGATAAAGAAAAACCACTTGATTTACTATCTTTTTTCCTTCCCACAGAGAAGGAAATTTACCAACTATTGGGGAATATTCCTCTCATGAGAGAGTCAAATTTAATCCATCCAGGACATCCTGGCCCTGTCTTCATAGTTGCTCATCTGTTGAGATTAGTTTGGGCAGTGTGCATTAGAGGCTGATAAATTTACAAAAGAGAAAAGCATCCGCTTGCTAATGACTCTCTTTAAATAAAAATTGTTATTTGTAAAGCATATTTTATGAAAAATGTTATCATATTAAAAGTTTGGAATGGAGAGAAAAGGAAAACATTAGCCACAACTCTGCCACCAGAACACTGTCACTGCTTAATGCAGAAAGGGATGGGTATCTTTTTTTAAATCACTTAGAAAACACGAGTGTGTATCCTTTTCCATTTATGTTTTATCTTGAGAAAATTCATGTTATGCATAGTCTTTGTAATGATTAATTTGTTTTACAAAAGAAGTTGCTTGGAAAATAGGCAATGTAGTGTGTAATAAAATAAAAATTGGTAGCTCCCTTCTCCCACACAAACTGTCCTGGGAAGCCGGTGCCATTGCCTTCACTTAATACTTCTGCCGTAATTTATTCAACTAGTTCTTACTTGTTGAACTTCAGTTACTTCCAGTTTTTACTAATACAGAAAGTGGTATCATAAGCAGCCACCCGCATAGAGATTCTTCCATATCGTTATTCCCATATTTCCACATATCCTTGGGACAGATTCCCAGAGTAGCCCTACTGGTCAAGGTGATTGATATCTACCATAATTTAAAAAATTAAAAAATACAAAAAAGGATCAACATCTGTTGGGCTCACATTTAAATGTTTTGACTTAAAATTATGTCTTTTAACACGTAACGTCCAAAAATATAGACATAATATCTCAGATTATCAAAGTACACAGGAATCTGCTGTGTACAGCTGATAACCCCGAAAGGTTCTTCCCACTGCAAGTCATGGCAAAGTAGTGGATAATACGACAAGCAGTAAGCTCGTTACACTCACCTCAATGAGAGGTCTTCAGACAGATCTATTATATGCATTTACTTACAGTGTCCCTAGCAAAAGCTTTCATAAATTCATTAAACTTCGGCTGGTCCATAACTTTCAGCTGGCTTTGCTGGGCACTCATCGTGAAAATAGGCTGGAAAACAAAGACACATTATACTGTCAATATTCCCAAGCTCTTCTCTGCATCCTAGGTTAAAAGAAGAATATTTACATGGTATTTGGGTACCCAATAGCAGTTGGCTTCCCAGATCTCATTCTGAAGTGATGAGTCCTGTGCTCAAAACCAGAACACAACTATTCTTTCACTGTGTTCTGCACCTTATTTCATATGTCACATATTTGCTGTGAAGTCAAAATTTAGATAGGAAATATGGATATGCAAAACCCAACTAAACATCCTGGAGGTGGTTCCAGGAAAAACTACTGTTAGGTGAGGTGCCAGCAGGTGAGGGAGACCTGGAGGAAGTGCACAGCAATTACCTGATACCCTCCCAGGGTGATGGTGACCGAGACATCCAGGGGCTGGTTGATCACTCCAGCAACAGATTTGATCAAGGACATGAAGAGCAGAGGAAACCAGACTATGCAGATGAGCAGAACGATGATCATGCCCCCCATGCCATACTTTACCACTTTCTTCTTCTTCTGTCCCCGGGGCTGAGGGTATCTCTGCAAGAGAGGAGTTCATAGTCTCCGCCACTGTCCCTGAGAAGCAGGCAGGGAGGGCAAGCACTCTTCCCACAGGGCCTGGCACTGTATTTAGTCCTGATTCTTCCCTGCTTGCTGTAAGTGGGGACAGTGGCCTTACCCAACCTGGGAACACAGGTAGGTGGTGATGTGAAGCTGTAACGAACTCCCCACCTGTTCCCATGGTACTACTACAAGGACCAACAGGACCTGAGTAACTTCCTCCTGAAAATTATCAGGTGGATTTTGCTTGCAATGAACTTATAGGCCAAGGGATCAAATACTCTGCTGAATAAAGCCTCTGGTTTTAAGGGATCATGTGGGAGAAAGACATTCTATTTTAAATTCCTGAATACGCAAAAGCTGTGCCTGTCAAATGACTGCTCCCTGACTTGGTGGGTAGTAAAACATTTTAACTTCATTTATGACACACGTCATTAAAGACAACATCATTCAAGTCGTGCAATAATTCTGTAAGGACAGAAGAGGCCTCCCTGCACCACCGTGACTCCACACAGGCCCAGGTTTGGACACTGTGCTGGGTAGCTGGGTTGGTGGTGGTGGCTGGTATGTGTCACATAAGGACTCGCTGTCTCATTCAAGGGCAGGGCACATGGTTGGCCCGGAGGCACTCCCATCTGCTGTACTGAGGACCCACTAGCACTGAACACAGAGACTGCAGGCAAGCAGGAGGCGCTGGCTTTGCTGGGGGTATTAACACTTTCGGCTCTGTGTTTTCTCGCTTAAATGTTGCTTCTCAGTGACCTTGAGAAGTGACCTTCTCAGTGACCAGGGTTACCCTTGAGGTTAGGCTGCATACATAACGTGGTGGTTGTCCCCACACCCAACCTGGCTGTGATATTTATCCTGGGGCTCCCACTTCCTCCAGAGGGATCCCTTCACTTGAGTGGGTGAAGATTAGAAATAACCCACCTTCCAGCTGTGGGCACTGAGCTCTAGGTTACAAACCAGCAGAGCCATCTGGGAGTCAGCAGAGACATCCCCGCACACTTAAAGGACTCTCTGCAAAGGCTCTTCAAGTCTGACCCTCAGTGGCTGCTGAAGATGGGAACCTGAGGACATGGCCAGACTGGAGGGCAGAGGATGGTGTGGAGACGGTGTGGATCCCTGCACAGATGCTGCTCCTAAACCCCTGTGAGGGCTTGAGCGCTGTGAAGCGCAGGTCGAGCACTGTATTTTCATTTATCTTTGCACTAGAATTTGATACTGTTACTTATAGCTTTATATTTTGAAAGAAAAACTGTAATATTTGAAAATTTTAAATGAATATATGTGTATATACTCTCTCTCACACACAGACTCGTGTTTTCCTTCTTTTCTTGGGAGGCAAGTTTAGACGGCGGGCCTCTCGCCCCACTCCTGCAGCATCTGGTGTCGCATGACGGGGAGTTCCATGGAGCTAAAGGAGATTCCGCTCCTCTCTGCCGACAGCAAGGGCTTCCCTTTGCTCCCCTCCTCCTGCTCATGCCTTGTGCACTTCTCATGCGGACACTTCCTGACCTATGAGGCCACATTCACCTTCGCGTTTCAAAGGGGCTGTGACCTTCCCGTCCTGCGCCATGCCTTCACCTGTCCTAGGTGGGTCCTACGCTCCTGTCCTGATTCCTGTCCCACCAACTTCCCAGCACTCTGGGAAGTGGCTGCAGATATCACTGCAAAATGACTAGGAGGAAGGCCCTGCACTGTGCCTGCTCAAGGCAGCCCTTCGCCTTCCAGGAAAATGTTCTTGCCTCAGGGTGTATCCACAGAGACCCAAACACATACTACAGTCAGTATGGAATAATCCCCGGGAAAAGTTAACATTTAAAAGGGGCTTACTCTTCTGCTTCACATGGGACAAGTGACTGTCACTGATACTGCTTCTGTCTCTGGTGGGACAGAGAACAGGAGACGGAGTCACTTAGACTCCTTTAATACTTAACCTCCCACATGACTACATTTCTGAGAAAGTTTTACCTTATGTGATTTAAAAGGCTGATATTCTGAAACAACCATTGATTTAGCATAAAGTACATACATTAAAATGACACTTTTTATTTCTTAAACATAAAATAAAAAAGATAATTGCAAGTCTTCTGTTGGGCAAAGGCCAGAATAACCCTGTCTTTCATCAGTTCTACAATGAATGGATGCAACCACTTCACTGCAGTATTGAGAAAGTTGTCATCTGTTGGCTCCCAGGCAGTGAAAGGCATGCAGGGCTGGCAAACGGAGCAGCTCCACCGCTCACTGACAGGTGTGCCTGTGGAACCAGGTGCACGGGGGGCAGTTACAAAACCTGTGATTCAGAGCTTCTTGTCAAGAGTCCTCCTCCTCGCCCAGAGGAAACACTGTCTCCTAGCGTCTGGGTCAAACCCTTGCTCTCTCAGCAACTCCTTGCAGGAGGCAGGCCATCAGGCTTGAGTCTGTTCACTGCTGTCCCTCCTCCTCCAGCTTTGCATGGATGGCTGCTCCTCTGTGTCCCTGCTGACTCACTCAGCTGTGCCTCTGATTCTACACTTTCCAGATTGCCATCTGGACTTCCTCCTTTGGCTCAGATACTAAGAATTTTTACTTTTCTCTACTTGTCTTTTCCTTACTACCTACCCACTCCATTCTGAGTTGGTCCTCTGGCCTTGCCTCTCACATGCCTATGCTCCGTCCCTCCGAAACAGCAACCACAGGACTGACCCCAGGCAAGTCTGCCCAGGGGCGCCCAGCCCATACTGGTGACCCACAGCACTGTGAGTGAAGAAAGTGGGTGTGATTTTAAATCACTCAATTTGAAGTAGTTGTCAGCAGCAATATACAACCAATACAGTATCTGCTGAGTGAGTGGTACAACAGCACTTTCTGGTACAAAGGTTTCAGGATGGAAATTCTCTGCATGACCTGGCGTGCTCACGGACACCTCTGGTAACTACCACCTCCTGAGGTGGCCCGTCTGTGGTGGGGCAGCTTTGAGTATTAGAAAGTTCTTCATATTCAGTTGAAACTTACTAGTACTGTTGCCTACTTGTCTAAATTCCTTTTTCTTGAGCCTTACAAATTAGTTTGAATCTTTTATCTATTGTTCAATATTTCAAATAGTTTAAACTAGCTATTATTTTTGCCTCCTTCTATTTCTTTCTACTTCAGACCGAACAATTCTTGGTTCTTCTTACTTCTTCTCATATGTCATGATTTCTAAATCTTGTCACCATGATTGCTGTCCTCAATGCACCTTTTATTGAACAGCTCTCATATTCTGTCATTATATAATCTCTTCTGCTTCTTAAAAATCAGAGCAAGACAATACAGTTTTAAGTCTACTGCCAGCCCCATCTCCTTTACTCCCACAACCATCATAAAAACAGAGGCTGTATTACAATAGACCCATGACTATAAAGCTGAAATTTTCAGAGGGAGCAACTGCATGCACTAAAGAGTACAAGGGACTTTTCCAGGAAAGGTATTAGTGACTAATGTTTGTTGGGTATTTCTACTGCTATTATGCAACAGGTTCCTCATTCAGACATTAAACTTTTGAAAAAATCTAATAAATAATGGTAATTCTATCCATATTTAAACCTTAATATTCAACCTAGCAGAATTAGAAAACATCTGCACTTCAATTTCCTTTGCACCAAGAGGTTAAACTGTCCCTCATTGAAGAGTGAATCAGAGTGTGAGCTGAGTCCAAGACACCTGACCTCACTTTTCTCCAACATATCACATTCCTGCCCCCAAATGAGTCATTTAAGAATTAATGGGTCACACAGCAATATATCACTTCTTCTTTTTAAAACATCTATAATATACAGTTGCCAAAAGAAGAACACATCTGGATGCTATTGCTGAATAAGGCAGTAGTGAGTCCCAAATCCTCAACTCTAGGGGGTTAGAAACCAATGGGAAATTTATAGGTCTTATGGTTTTGCCCCTGCCTCCACTTATTTGGCCATGAAACTTATGGAAGTTCACATTAATCTTATAACCAATCAATAACAAATAGGGAGAATGCATTTTTATTGGCTCACTTTTTCTGATTCCCGCCAACACTTCAGGATAAATATGTGAGCATAGATGTCCTCCACACAGATCCAGCTGGAGAGGCTCAAGGTTGTATCTGTCCACACCCAGTCCATCACGGCCCTCAGCTCCGTCAAGAACGGAACGAGGCGGAACCTGGCAGAAACCACATCCATTAGAGAGTCAGTGTGGGATGGCCCTGTCACTCTCCAACCCTGGGATCACATCTTTCTTATTGTTTTAGCCTTCATGACTTAGAAAAAATTCTCAAGGTATCGTTTATGGTAAGATGTAACTTGGACTACAATTGTTTTTCACTATAAATCTAATACACAGATTAGTATTTTCCATTTCTTTTCTTTCTTTTTTTTTGGCTGATGGTTATAACAAACTGGACTTCCCTTTTTAAATATGTTTGAAGGTATCTCCTTCCATTTCTGTCATCAAAGTCTTATAGTATTCATAGATCTTTCACTTCTTTGATTAAATTGATTTCTAAGTCTTTCATTGTTTCAATGCTATTGGGAATGGGATAGGTTTTTTTTGTTTCTTTTTCAGATGTTTTGTTGTGAGGGTGTGGAAATGCCACTGATTTTTATATGTTCATTTTGTATCCAGCAACTTTTCTGAATTTCTTATTTCCAATAGATTTTTAGTTGAGTCGTTAGAATTTTCTGTACATTTAAGATCATATTTTCTGCAAATAACCATTATTTTATTTTTTTAAACATTTATTTATGTTATAAGAATCTATTGGTCATGGGATTATGGATTATTGGGGCTTTGCTGTTGAATAAGCTAGGGAAGCTTGTGTACCTGGTAAGTGAAAGGTGAGGGTGAATGACATGTTGGGGAGCAGGACATGTCATCATGTCATGGGGCATGCAGTAGGGCCCCACCTGCTGGACTTAATAAGCGACTAAGGCTAAGGGGCTCTGGCTTAGCCTCTATTTATATTTTAGTTGGGTGTGACTTGCCCTGGGTTCCCCTCTTCTGGGACTGTTTCTTGTTGCTTGACTGACACAGAGCTTCTCCTAGGCTGCAGAACCCAGGTCATCCAGGGCCTTCAGAGTGGCTGGGGTTACCACTGAGAAATTCTCCTCAGGTTACTCAGCTCTGCCATGTGAATGCTAACCCTGGAAGAACTATCAGGCCACACACAGGACTACACTGAGTGGAACACCACTTGCAACATCTGAGCACACTTGGCACCTCTTCTGTGACTAAATCGCCAGTCCATAGGTTTGGGGCAAGCTAGGAGCCAGTGGTGCTATGAGTAGCCTGACTTTTTATGCTGTGGCAGAATTTCTGAGGGAACAGATAGGAGACACTATGAGTGAAATCCTCACGTTGAAGAGCCAACCTGCTTCATTTGAGTAACTAAGTTACTACCAGGAACAAGCAAGTCGTGGCACTCAGGTTGAGGACAGGTAGAATAAACGGCCCTCTTCAGTGGATGCACTTATTGTACACAAAATTTCAAAGGTATTTTAGAATAATTCAGATTTCAAAATATTCTGTTCCATTGTGTCCAGAAATATATTATTTAAAGATCATGCAGCTGTACTTTTCATCACAAAATATTATCATAGGCATTATGCAGGATATAGAAATAGAAAATTAACCCATCTGGATGATGCTAGACAACATCCTCTCCAGGTGTGTGGCGACTCTCACGGAAAGGCATTTCTGGAGGGCTACTTGTCTTTTGCCAAGCACAGGAGGAGCTCCACGAGGATCTGTATGGCTGAACTGTATCGTACACATCAGCGTTCTTCCTCTTGCTGCTCCTTCCCTCACAGGGGGCAAAATGCCTTTCACTTGCCAGCTTCCCCTCTGTGAATGCTGTGATCATACAGTGTCCCTTCCTTACCCTTGAAACAAGAAGAGGTTGACGTAATTGTAGCTCTTGGTGAGGAAGTTTCCAAGGACTCGTGTTGGGTAGCCACAACGGATTTGGTAGGCAGACAACCCGAAGTAAACACATTTTACAAAGTACCAAAGCTGGGCAACCAGGTTCTGACTGAATTTCCTAAAACATAAAAACATGAAAAAGTGAAACAATGGAATACTCTTCTGGTAGAAGTAGTTTCCAGTTTAGGATTAAACAACAAACAAACAGAAAACCCTAACTGCCCCTATGGCACTTACAGTCAGATTAGTTAATTCCAGGGAATTCTCTGCACATAGTAGATCACCTCAGAGGCAGAAAGTAGGGTGAGAAAATCTAATAATTAACATAATCCTATGAATGGTGCCTCCAACATTTACTGCATTATTCAGTTTTTTAGGTTGTCATTGAAATAAATTATTGTTAAGTGAACATACTAATAAATGTTTTCTCACAATGAGATGCTGCCACCATGGTCCAAATTAAAGCATAACACATAAAAAAATCAAAACGCATTTTTTTTTACTTGAAAGGACCAATAATTTGGGAAATGTAGGAGAAAATTCTGAGACATGAAACCTCAACTTTATTTATTTTTTTTTTTGCTACACATCTATAAAGATAGATCACATTAACAAAGTTTCAGTGCCTGGATTTTGGTTCCAGTTATGTTTACAAGCTATGGCATTTGTTCCTCAAGCCATTATTTCTCAAGACATCAGTGTCTTTATTGAAGATTTTGTTCAGCTCTGTAAATCTATGACTCCATGACCTAACTTTTCTTTCCCCAGTGATGTCCTCAACAATAGAGATGGGAGTCCATTCTCCTTGTGAATAATTAATGGAGTGACCCAACTTTGGATAAGTGCATGTTTCTGCAAGAAAATTAAAAGGAAATTAAAAATAAGACTTTTGACTTAGCAAGATCTAGGTATAATCTTCTCTGTGTTTAAAATTAAGAGCAAGGTTTGAAGTTTTTTATACAAGTAGCATATTATTCTTTATGTGGGATTTTGGATTTACCTTATTAACTTTTAATTTTATTATTAGTAGAAGACATATATTATTGCTTAACTGGAAATAGCTATTCTCCAGTTGACAAGCTCTAAGAAGCAGTCAGGAACATGTGTCCCATGTGTCTACGGGCCCTAGGAACCTCTTAGATCGCAACAGCTAAAGATCTCAAAAATATTGTTTATTAATATCTCCCCTGTAGAGAAATCCAGATTTGGTATTACAGATCCTAATCAATTTATTTAAATATATTTGACCATGATTTGGCACTTGACAAGTTATCAATAAAAACACCTGATACATTAGAGAGTCCACATCAACTACCCCTCTCCCCACCCTTTCTAGGGACTGTGTCTATTGGCAAATCATTAGGAAAGAACATTCTTTTAGATCTCCAGGGAAATGCCCTTGGATTTTTATAATAGTTGATAGGAGAAGGGTTCTATATTTATCAAAATTATAGTCAAAGACATAAAACTGTGTTGCCTTCTATTCCTTATAAAAGGACCAACCTATGTTTATCATAAAGAATAAACATTTTCCTTCTTAAGATCTTAAGGTGAATTACCTTAGAATAATAGTTAATCTAGAGTTCCTGAATTAATCATGCTAAATCGAATGAGGGAAGTAAGATTTCCTATATCAGTAAACCTTTGTCTTTGGTGGTCGCTACATGATATATTGTTAGAGGCTAGAGTCACTCACACCTTACTCAGTTTCCCATAGCACCTGTCACACAGCACTTTGTAGACTGTAGGCAACCACTGAATATTTGTGGACTAAATGATGTGCACATACACAGAAAGGTCCTTTATCAGATTAACTATTCAAGATATTGGAGTTTCCTGATGCTCAATATTATAATCTATAGTCATAATTTTTGTATGTATACTTTAAGTCTCCTGATCTATTTCTTCCTTTATGTTTTTCCTGTTTTGAAAAGAATAGAGAGTATGACTATTAACAAATATTTTCCCTTTGCACAATAATGAATTAAATTTTCAGTAAGAATATTTGAAGGAGGAAAAATGATTTTGGAATGTTAACAAGTAATGGTGCACATGGTACAATGGTGGCGTGGCTTGACATGTCAATAAATTACATTGTCACTGACATGCTGGCAACAAAGACTGAAGGCTCCCCAATCTCAATGTATCTTAAATTAAATATACAAAAATAAAGATTGGATAATCTCTCTTATCCGATGATAATAATATATGACCTAGGAATGACTCTTAGGTGAGGCTCAGAGTGAGACCCACAAAAATAGAAATGATCTCTGTGGCCGTAGGGTTTTTTTTTCATGTTTATAGCAGCTTTATTTGTAATTGCCAAAAAAGTAGAAACACCCCAAATGTCCTTCAACTTTTGTATGAATAAACGCTCAATGGTACATCTATACAGTGGGACACTATTTGGCAACAAGAAACAATGAACTCCTGAAGCATGCAGCGACACAGGTGAAGCTCAAGTACATGATGCCAAGTGAAAGATGCCCGCCTGAAATGCCACAGGATGTGTGATCACATTTATGTGACAGTCTGGGAAAGGCAAAATTGTAGGGACGGAAGATAGATCTGTGGTTACTAGAAGCTGGAGGTGAGGGAAAAGCGTTGCCTAGAAAGGGTACAGGGGAATTTTTTGGGTGATGAAACTGTTCAATATCTTAAATATTTCTTGTATTATTTTTAGAATTGAGGTGTTATTGACACATAATATTGTATTAGTTTTAGGCATAGTTTTAGGGCTTGTCACAGTGCCTTAAGCCCTGGAAGCCCATCGTGTGAGCCACCCCCCAAGGGCTCAGGTCCATGCTTTATTAAAGTTGGTGTTACTTTCTCCTGGTTTACTGCTCTGCGCATAGCAGGTGTTCAGTAGTGTTCAATAAATGTGAAATTGGATATACAGGATTATAAGTCACACAGAGAAGCCTTCATTCATTTCATTCAGCCACTGTAAGAAACATTCCAACTGTATTTGGTTTGGAAGATACTGATGCCATGCTGTTAATCTCTTCAAAAGCCCAGGAGAGACTGGAGCTGACAGACTAATACTCCCTGCCTCCCCTCAAAAGATGTGCACATCTTAATCGTGGAACCTGTGATTATGTTCCCTTACGTGACAAAGAAGGCTTCACAGCTGTGATTCAGATTAAGTACCTTGAGGTGGGGAAATCACCTGCAGCATCTGGGCAGGCCCAATCTAATCAGCGAGCTTAAAGGGCCAGCTTCCTCCCAGCTGTGGTCCCAGGGAGCCGTGACAATGGTGGAAGGGTCAGAGAGATGCCACAAGGAAAGGGCTCAGCTACTGTGGCTGATTTTGAAGGGAGAGGAAGGGGCTCGGTCCTCAAGAAGCTGGAAAAGGCAAGAAATAGCCTCTCTTCCAGAGCCTTTAGGAAAGAATGCTGCCAGGCAGGCACCTTGATTTTAGTCCATTGGGACTTCTGTCAGACTCCTGACCTACAGAACCATAAGATGATGAATTTGTGCTGTTTTAAGTGTTAGGTTTGTGGTGATTTGTTAAGGCAGCAGTAGGAAACTAATCCAAGCAGGTGATTTGATCCTGCGGAAGCGATTCTCTGTGGCTTTGCCACTGTCATACTTCTGGAAGCACTGGTCTCTGGGGAGGCCCCTGGCAAAGATCCATGCTCTGCAGCTCTGTGCTGGGACTGGAAAAATCAAGTCCTTTCCACAATGCATGATGAAACAGTAGGCTATGTTACTTTACACACCTGCCTGGAAGCAGGTGCAGGATTCTTTCCCTGGGCTGAGGTGCAGCAAACACAAGGTGTAGGATACAGGAGGGCAGGAGGCCTGGGGCTGGGAGCCACACTCAGCAATAATTAGCTGAAGGCCTTTGGAGAGTCACTCTTGTGGATAAAGTGAAGGTTCCTGTGGCCAGGATTCTCACCTGGCTCTGGCTGGCTAGCTCGCTACACACATGTGGGCAATATGTTGCTATTGCTATTGACTCTATATAAAGAGCTCTGCCCAGTGATCTGGGCAACATGGTGGCACAGCTGCAGGGCTGCAGGAGAGCGGAGCAGAACCTGGAGTGGTGGCAGTGTCGAGGACAGAGACTGAGATGGCTGTGCAGCCAGAGGGGCCCAGAGGCAGAGACCAGCCTGCTGCACTCAGACTCGCTCTGAGTGGATGGGATTTTAGTGATTGACTTGCCACCATGGAAATAAAGTTGGGTATAGTCCTTTCACCCCAAGAACGTTCTACTGTCATTTCTTTGTCACACTGAATCCATAGTGAACTTGCCTGTGGCTGAAACCCATTGGCAAGACATTCTGCTGTAGGGATTTTACCCATCCTAATCTGTAAAAGTAGATAGTAGGTCTTCTCTGAAATGAAAATTTTCTGTGCAGGCTGGCAGAGAAGCCTACTTGGTGCCTTTAAATGTCCAAGAAATAATCAACATCCATCATCCAAGTACCATGAGTATTGTTTGGTTTATTTCTCTGAATTGAAAGATACATATTGTAGGGAAAATGGGAGTGCCCATGGCCAGCATCCTCACCTGACCCTAATCTACTTGATGATGGAACTGGCTTGCTGCTGGGTTACTGCTTCCACAACTGTTGGCAATAAGTCACTATTACCTGTATTGCTGTATAAAGAGCTCTGACTCACTTGGGGCAGAACAGAGGCTGGAGGCAGAGACAGAGACAGAGACTTGCTGCATGCAGACTGCCCCAGAGGCAGATGAGATTCCAGCACTTGACCTGCCACCAAGAGAATAAAGCTGGACATAAACCCTTTTACCCCCAACATTCTGTCATTTTTTTGGTCTCACTGAATCGAGAGTGAACTTGTCCAGGGCTGAAACCCTCAGGAAAGACCCATATAATTAAGTATTTATAGAGAAAATTGCATTTATTCTATTTTAAAGAATAGAAAATAAGATTCACAACATTCTCATGAACAGATTCTAATATTTTTACATGCAGCTATGAATTATTGTTATCATCTGAGATATGTTTACTCTCCCAGTATACACTGTGGAATGGGGCACTGATTGATTGGGCTTTTGGTGGCCTCTGGGTAACAATTTTTTTTTAGTTAGTTCTACATTGGACTCAGCAAAAATTATCTTACTTCCATTTTTCCTTTTAAAATACTTGCATTGCCACCATTTATTATTACAGAGCAATAATTCCTGTACTACTATCAAAAGGTCAGAGCCTAAGCATTCAGGTGAGCACAGACAAGTGGCTCCAGCATTGGGAGATGGGCTTTGGACTTCCTCATTAGGAGCTACATTTGAGTCAGGTTATGAGCCACATAAGTAAAATCAATTTTCATTACTTTCCAGTCATGCTTCTAGAAATGGTATTAGCCAACCTGATTGATGTGTTATTCATAATGCTTGCTATGAGTGACTCTTGAGGTATGCTAGAAAGATCAAATTCACTATGAACATGAAACGTTTTTAATGATATGTTTATTAAAAATTTCATCCTAGGGCATCATATGGACACTGCAATGGTCTCCTCAGAGGACTCTTTACTTCCCTAACCTAACAGAACCAGTATTTCCCACCTATAGTGCCCGCCCTTTCAGGGGCTGACCCATTCATTGTTCATTCATTAAGCATCAATTGGTCCCAAGCATTGTTTTGGGAGGAGGTGGAGGCTGGGAAGACCACCTGGGAGAAGGACATCTGAACCAACATCTGAAGGGGTTGGGGGAGTAACACTGCAGTTGGCAGCAGGGAAGGGTGGGTCAGAGGGCCATGAGGGGTGGGACATGTGGCACCCTCAGGGACCCTGAAGAGGGTCCAGTCAGCTGAGCTTAGAGTTCAGGACAACAGGGGGAAAGATGGCAGCCAGCCATCTGCAACACCTAACCAGCCCCTTCCCTAGAAGGTTGGGCCGTTCTTTAGATCCTGTCTCCAGGCCATCTTAACCAGCAGCACCACTGTAGAGACAGCATAGCCTCTGACCTCATGGCTGGCACACTCCCTCCAGAGCGGGGCACTTCTCAAGCATTGGCACCCGTGACCCTGCCAACCACCCTATGTGGCTGGCCCTGTCATGTGCGCTGTGCTGGTGATCTCTGCATTTGCTTCCGCCAGTCAAACAGTCTCTATTTTTGTGTTTGTTCTCCTGTGACATAGGCCCATTCTCCTCATCCTAATACTGCTCCTAAGACCATATTCCCATTCATTTCTACCTACTGAGATGTAGACACAATCACAGCATAAGCCCCTGAGGGGATCATTTAGGCTGCATCTTTCCTATTCAGAAAACCCTGCTTCTATGAATGCTTATAAACATGCAATGAAAATATCAGTGAGGAATCGGTTCATGCTGTGGACTCCCATTGATTAAAACCTCTCCCTTTCCCTGCCCATGGGGCTGCTCTTTCATCCCTCTACCTGTACGTGGTGACTGTGTCATACCAAGTGTACTGGTGACAGCCTCATGCAATACGTTGGCATTGAAGTGGGCCTGTGCCTCCAGCTTCTAAAGAACTTACCTCTCAGTCACACCAGGCAGGATGAAGAACATCCAGAAGTGAATTCCAAACACGAGAATGACCTGGAAAATGACCTTCCCCAGCACAGTCTTCCTGAGGTACAGCGCTCGGTCCACCACCATGGTTCCAAACTGAATGAGCACCATCACCAAAAACGGCCCAGGGACCTGGTCTTCTGACAGTGAGGAGGTGATGTCTGCCGCCGCCGAGTGTTTCTGGGAGGGAGACAACAGGTTCAGGCACGAGCAGCAATACACAGCACAGCAGGACTCGGTTTGTGGATGCATGTGGCCTTCAATCCCAACCTACCCCAAAGGCCCAGAAGCCAAAGACAATGATGACGAAGTCGACAGTGTCAGCTAGGAACATGAGCACATACACATCGGTCACAGCGCTGTAGTCTGGGTGGATGAGGTCGTAGAAGAACCGTCTGATGGGCACATATATTTGCAAGGTTCTGCAAAACAGAGACCACACAGCCTACCTTAGGAGGGATGACCAGATTCGCTTTCTCCACACCCCTCTTTCTGACCAGGTCGACAGTCCCTTGGGGTGGCTGCTGTGCTGACAGAGTGCGTGATCATTCACCAAGGCAGGTGCAAGGCCCTGCTGCTGATGGGACCACACTGCTTCTCTTGCTCAAATCCTACTAGAGTGGCAGAAAGCCCCAGAGGGAGGGGCCGGATTGTTGCTGGATGCAGTTGCTCTCAGCCTGTGACACCTTGAGCATGCTACTTAACTCCCTGCATTTTCATTTCCTCTTCTGTAAAACTTGGGTAATGAAAAGACCTGAGTCCCAGGGCTGGGGTGAGAATTCAGTGCAAATAATGAACACTCCAGCCTGGAGTCCTGCCCCAACCCCTGGTAAACAGCGGGTGGTCCCTGCTCCTCCCCTTTCCACACCCTGTGCCTCTCTGGGGTCCCAGGTAGTGTCCTGTGTGTCACATCTTGCTCTGTCCTTCATTATTGTGTGCTCCTGGCCCTGGCTTGCCTGCCCAGCCTCTGCCCTTGTCACTGTGTGCTGGGTTCTACCTTTGATTCCAGGCCACGTTCGTGTGGATGGCCCTCCTGGTCTCAGGGACTGCTGCTGCCCCTCCTCCATTCCCATTCCTCATCTTCTGCCTGTCTATGTCCCTGGCACTTGGGGGGACCTGTGCATTTTGCTGGAGCCCAGCTGTGTGAGTTGGAAAAACCATTTCCCAGTCATATGCCTGTTTCCCTTCCCTAGGATGCAAGTATGTCTCCAAGGCCATAGCAGATCTGACATATGCTTTCTGTCTGATCAGACTTTACTGTGGTAATGCCTGGTAATACATACTGTGACCCCTTGAACTTACTCATCCTATTCAAATAGAAAATTGTGTTTATAAATGCAGGGGATATGAAAATGAATCACACTTGCTGAAAAGTCATTTTTAACAGCAATACATCACCTCGCCCCAGCCAGAATGGCTACTATCCAAAAGACAAGAAATAACTGGTGTTGGTGAGGATGTGGAGAAAAGGGAACCCTCATGCACTCCTGGTAGGATTGTAAATTGGTGCAGCTGCTATGGAAAACAGTATGAAGGTTCCACAAAAAATTACAAATAGAAATACCAAATGATTCAGCAATTCTACTTCTAGGTATTTATCCAAAGAAATGAAAACACTAATGTGAAAAGATATCTGTACCCCCATGTGTTACAAGAGTTTACAGCACTGTTTACAGTAGCAAAGACATGAAAGAAAGCTAGGTGTCCATGGATGGTTGAATGGATAATGAAAGTGTTGTATATATATATATAAACATCCATAAAACAGGAAATCTTGCCATTTGTTTTGACATGACAACATGGATGGACCTCAAAGCCGTTATGCTAAGTGAAATAAGTCAGAGAAAGTCAAATACCATATGATCTCACTTACATGTGGAATCTAAAACAAAACAAAACAAAAACCCAAACTCATAGACAGAGAGAACAGATTGGTGGGTGCCAGAGGAGTAGGGGTGGGTGAAATGGGTGAAGGGAATCTAAAGGTACAGACTTCCAGTTACAAAATAAAGAAGTCAAGGGGATGAAATGTACATCATGGAGAATATAGTTAATTATACTATATTGCATATTTGAAAGTTGCTAAGAGTAAATTTTAGAAGTTCTCATTATAGGAAAAATGTTTTATAACTGTGCAGCAATGTTACCTAAACTTATTGTGGTGATCATTTCTCAATATATACAAATATCAAATCCTTACATTGTACATCTGAAACTAATATAAAGTTTTATGTCAAGTGTATTTCAATTAAAAATATAATAATGCCAGGGGCGGAGCCAAGATGGCGGCGTGAGTAGAGCAGTGGAAATCTCCTCCCAAAAACACATAGAGCTATGAAAATATAACAAAGAAAAATCTTCCTAAAATAGAGACCACAGGACACAGGACAACATCCAGACCACATCCACACCTGCAAGAACCCAGCGCCTTGTGAAGGGGGTAAGATACAAGCCCCAGCCCGGCGGGACCCGAGCGCCCCTCCCCCCGGCTCCCGGCGGGTGGAGAGAAACCGGAGCTTTTTTTTTTTTTGGCGAGCGCGTGTTGGAAGCCTTGGAGGGACGGGCCCCCGTTGCTGGGGAGGCAGGGTGGCGGGACCGGTGAGGAGGTGCCTGGGAACGGCGCCGGAGGACAAAGAATATCCCGCGTTTCTCCCTGCGAGACCTGGGGGCGGGTGCCTGAGACCGGTGCCTGAGGACGGAGGAGGTCGCGCGTTTTTCCCTTTTTTTTTTTTTCTCTTTTTGGCAAGCGCTTTTTGGAAGCCTTGAAGGGACGGGGACCCCAGTGCTAGGGAGGCACGGTGGCGGGACTGGTGAGCGGGTGGCTGGGACCGGCGCCTGAGGACAAAGAATATCCCCCGTTTTTCCCTGCGGGACCGGTGGGCGGGTGCCTGAGACCGGCACTTGAGGACAGAGGAAATCGCGCGTTTTTCCCCTTTTTTTTTTCTCTTTTCTGCGAGTGCTTTTTGGAAGCCTAAAAGGGACAGGGACCCCGGTGCTAGGGAGGCAGGGCGGCGGGACTGGTGAGCGGGTGCCTGGGACCGGCACCTGAGGACAAAGAATATCCCGCATTTTTCCCTGTGGGACCGGTGGGTGGGTGCCTGAGACCAGCACCTGAGGACGGAAGAAATCGCGCGTTTTTCCCCTTTTTTTTCTCTCTTTTTGCCGAGTGCTTTTTGGAAGCCTTGAAGGGACAGGGACCCCGGTGCTAGGGAGGCAGGGCGGCGGGACTGGTGAGCGGGTGCGTGGGACCAGTGCCTGAGGACAAAGAATATTGAGCGTTCCTTCCCTGCGGGACCGGTGGGTGGGTGCTTTTTGGAAGCCTTGAAAGGACAGGGACCCTGGTGCTAGGGAGACAGGGCAGCAGGACCAGTGCGCGGGTGCCTGGGACCGGCACCTGGGGAAAAAAAAAAAAAAATCGCGTGTTTTTTCTTTTTTTTTTCCTTTCTGTTCCCTCTCTCATTGTTGCTGTTGTTGTTTTGGTTTGGAGAGTGCTTTTTGGAAATCTTAAAGGGGCAGGACAGGTCACTTAGACCAGAAGCAGGGAATCTGGGGATCTCTGGGCACTCTAACCCCCTGGGCAGCAGGGAGCACAGAGGCCCCTTACGGAGATAAATAGTCTCCTGGCTGCTCCCCCTCCAACGGGGCTCCACCATTTTGGAGGAACAGCCCCAGCCAGGCCAAGCCCACAGCAACAGCGGAGATAAACCCCAAAGCAACTGGGCAGGAAGCAGAAGCCCTGTCTGCGCACAGCTGCCCAGCACAAGCCACTAGAGGTCGCTATTCTCCCAGGAAAAGGCTACAAACCAACAAGAAGGGAAGCTCTTCCAGCGGTCACTTGTACCAGCTCTGCAAACTATCTCTATCACCATGAAAAGGCAAAACTACAGGCAGACAAAGATCACAGAGACAACACCTGAGAAGGAGACAGACCTAACTAGTCCTCCTGAAAAAGAATTCAAAATAAAAATCATGAACATGCTGACAGAGATGCAGAAAAAAATGCAAGAGCAATGGGATGAGATGCAGAGAAAAATGCAAGAGCAGTGGGATGAGATGCAGAGAAAAATGCAAGAGCAGTGGGATGAAGTCCGGAAGGAGATCACAGATGTCAGGAAAGAGATCACAGAAGTGAAACAATCCCTGGAAGGATTTATAAGCAGAATGGATAAGATGCAAGAGGCCATTGAAGGAATAGAAGCCAGAGAACAGGAACGTATAGAAGCTGACATAGAGAGAGATAAAAGGATCTCCAGGAATGAAACAACACTAAGAGAAATATGTGACCAATACAAAAGGAAAAACATTCGTATTATAGGGATACCAGAAGAGGAAGAAAGAGGAAAAGGGATAGAAAGTGTCTTTGAAGAAATAATTGCTGAAAACTTCCCCAAACTGGGGGAGGAAATAATCGAACAGACCATGGAATTATACAGAACCCCCAACAGAAAGGATCCAAGGAGGACAACACCAAGACACATAATAATTAAAATGGCAAGGATCAAGGACAAGGAAAGAGTTTTAAAGGCAGCTAGAGAGAAAAAGGTCACCTATAAAGGAAAACCAATCAGGCTAACATCAGACTTCTCAACAGAAACCCTACAGGCCAGAAGAGAATGGCATGATATACTTAATGCAATGAAACAGAAGGGCCTTGAACCAAGGATACTGTATCCAGCACGACTATCATTTAAATATGATGGTGGGATCAAACAATTCCCAGACAAGCAAAAGCTGAGGGAATTTGCTTCCCACAAACCACCTCTACAGGGCATCCTACAGGGACTGCTCTAGATGGGAGCACCCCTAAAAAGAGCACAGAACAAAACACACAACATATGAAGAATGGAGGAGGAGGAATAAGAAGGGAGAGAAGAAAAGACTCTCCAGACAGTGTATATAACAGCTCAATAAGCGAGCTAAGTTAGGCAGTAAGATACTAAAGAAGCTAACCTTGAACCTTTGGTAACCACGAATCTAAAGCCTGCAATGGCAATAAGTACATATCTTTCAATAGTCACCCTAAATGTAAATGGACTTAATGCACCAATCAAAAGACATAGAGTAATAGAATGGATAAAAAAGCAAGACCCATCTATATGCTGCTTACAAGAAACTCACCTTAAACCCAAAGATAAGCATAGACTAAAAGTCAAGGGATGGAAAAACATATTTCAGGCAAACAACAGTGAGAAGAAAGCAGGGGTTGCAGTACTAATATCAGACAAAATAGACTTCAAAACAAAGAAAGTAACAAGAGATAAAGAAGGCCACTACATAATGATAAAGGGCTTAGTCCAACAAGAGGATATAACCATTCTAAATATATATGCACCCAATACAGGAGCACCAGCATATGTGAAGCAAATACTAACAGAACTAAAGAGGGAAATAGACTGCAATGCATTCATTGTAGGAGACTTCA